AATTCGCTCCGGCAGGAGCGATTTTGCCCTTTTGGTTATTTTTTTTTTGATGTGCCGTTTTTGTTTTTTAAAGAAAATAAGTTGCACTTTTGTCTCCGGACTCAACAAAAAGGTGTCATTGCCCATTAGTGCCCATATAAAAACATTATCTCACTTGAAAAATTGGAGGAAGCCACATATTTTCTTGAAGAATCGGAGGAGCTCATATTTGGATTTGCCGCCTAATCCCCTAGAACTAGGGTAGAAATTTTTGGGCTATGTAATTTTTTTTTACTATATGGGTTGTCTAAATTTTTTTTTAAAAAATGTTAATAATGAAAAAGGAATAATGTGACATGGCATCCTATTAGGAGAGAGATAATATTTTTTTTGTGTCAAGTATATTTTGAGGAAAAGAGGTAAAGTTGGGTGATATTGTGGTCCTAAAACAAACATAAGTGATATTCCTAGGTAATTTCCCAAACATGGGTGACTGTCCAGGGAAATTACTCGAATTAGAATTAAATGAAACTGTGATTACAAAATTTATTTTGAGTTAATAGTTTGCTATTTCATACCATTTTCCCTATAAAGAACACTCAATTACTATTGTTTTATCTATAAAATAAAATAGTGTTAATTGAATAATTGCATGAGAAAGTAACTCTATAAATAATTGTATTTTTGTAAACTTAAGAACGAAAGAATAATATAAAGATGAAGACAAGAAGAATATAAGACAAGAGGAACAATATGAGATAACTTTCTTTCTTTCAAGTGCTCACCAAATCTTCAAGTGTATCCAATATGAACCCTTATGCCTCTATTTATAGTGTAAGATAGAGGCATACAAAAGGTTAGTCATAAACATGACATTAACATGAATATAATGGGGGAGGTTATAGAAGTGAAAGGTTACAAGAATAATGGTTATAAAGGTTTGGGCTATGTAATTTTTTTTTACTATATGGGTTGTCTAAATTTTTAAAAAAAAAATGTTAATAATGAAAAAGGAATAATGTGACATGTCATCCTATTAGGAGAGAGATAATGTTTTTTTTGTGTAAGTATATTTTGAGGAAAATAGGTAAAGTTGGGTGATATTGTGGTCCTAAAACAAACATAAGTGATATTCCAAGGTAATTTCTCAAACATGGGTGACTATCTAGGGAAATTACTCTTAATTTGGCACACTCCTTAAGAATGACAGTGAATTATATCGCCTTTTGAATATAATAAGGATATTCTTGAATTAAAAGGTTGACGTCAGAGGTATTTGGGGGCTGAACTGTGGACGGAGAATAGTTTTATACCAATTCAAATAATTGATCGATATTTTAGGCCCTTTTCCGTCAATAATAAGAATAATTAAGAACTAAGTGATCAGGTGTGATCTTTCAAACTTGAGAGAATATGCACAACTACCTCACTTCATCCACATGTGTAAAAGACATTAGCCGCACTTAAAAATCAAGTACTCTACCATTGAGTTAGCAACCCGAAGAAAATATCAAGAAAAAAATGTGTGGATCCAATCCCAAAAAAATAAAAATAAATTAGACAAGACAATCAATAACTATTGAAAATGAACATCTATTTTTAATACAAAATAAAAATAAAAATAAACCAATGAAATATTACTTAATGGTGCCCAACTTGTTTGACAAACCAAACAATCCCTAATGTTTTTTTTCAGAAGAAGACAAAGTAGAATCATCCCAGTATTAATATTTTTGTTCTCTTTAATATCAGCAAGATTAACAAAAGTTATTGTATTTGCTGTCAATCAGTTGGCACTTTCTAGTGTAAAAAAGGGGGCAGTTCCCGATTTTGGCTTTTAGGTCATCCATTCTTGCTCGGATTTCAAACATTTTTCGAATTTGATTCCATCTATACATATTTTTTCTTGGTCTCCGTCAAGATTGTATTTTTAACCTCTGTTTTGGGTTGCCGACAATTTCGGTGAGTTCTTGGAAGCCATATACATCTTTGCTGTTTCTTGTTTGATAAACTTTTTCTTTTCTTGATTTTACAACTAGTTGTTAGTAGTTTGTTGTTTCTGCTGCTTACTCTTTTGGGTTGTTGAAAGTTTGCTGAAGCAAACAATGGAAGTTTACTTCTACAAGAATCCAGATTGATTTTTTGTTCTTTCAGTTTATTGTGTGCATTGCATATATGTCCAAAAGGGATACACAATAAATTTTTGGTTGTGGAAGTGGTTTGAGATTTGAAATTCAGTGGTGGGGTTTGTGTTTTCAGTTGGTTTTTGCAATTTTTGATTAATTTGATGATGGAAAAAGGTGTTGAACATTTGATATCTGCTAGGAAATCTATGAGGGTTAATTTAGAGAAATCTAAAGACATAGGTTTATCTCTTGAAAAAGCTAGGCCAAGATTAGTTGAGATTAATCAGAGATTGCCTTCTTTGGAGGCTGCGATTAGGCCAATTAGGGCTGATCAAGATGCTCTTGGGGCTGTCGTTGGGCATATTAATCGTGCTGTGGTACCTGCTGCTGCTGTTCTTAAGGTTTTTGATGCTATTCATGGGCTTGAGAACTCGTTGTCTGATCCTGAATCTGACCTCCCTGGGTACTTTGGTGTGCTCAAGAGGCTCAAGGAGGCATTACGATTTTTGGGGGAGAATTGTGACATGGCGATTCAGTGGTTGGCGGA